CAAAAAAAAAACACTTTGGTTGCAACGGGGGAGAAAGTGAAGGAAACATGTTCCTCCCTCCGTGGCGACAAAGATATTCCGATTTTTATAAACACGAACGTTCGATTTCCCTTTTTTAATGAAAAATATTGAAGGAAAAAAAAGTCCAACGTACAAAGTAATATTTCATAGAGAGACGGTTTACTTATATACATGGTACGCGGATTGGACGCGTTGTGTCTTTTCTTGCTACTGCAAGACTGCTCCTTCCGCAACGAAGAAGGAACAACGGTTAAAGAAATATTTCGCGACGGTGCACGGATATGTGATACACGGACAGATCGAGAAAGGATGATCGACGAATGATTCCGGATCGTCGGGAAACATGTGTCTAGTCTACGTGCAAAGAGGCGTCGATGCATAAGAAAATGTATGGCGCCCCCATCCCCCACCCGTTGAAAAACCTCTCCACACAGAGAACGAAAAAAAATTTCTTTCTTTTTTTTTTTAGACTAGTAAGCAAATCAGACGGACGATATCTAAGAAGGCGCGATTTAGATGGTACGATGTATAAGGTAAGCGAACCGTTTCCCTCGCGCTGGCCCGTCAAACGTAATTTAATCCTGGATGGAATCGAACGTGTTTACGAAGAAGAAATCGACAGATCTTTTTCTTTTAAACGAAAACGAGAGAAAAATTGGACAAGAATTTCGATCATTCTGTTAAATAATTTTAATTCATGATAGTGACTAGCGCGAATGAACACGGATCGTAAAGTACTTAATCGTGAGAATTTCTTAAACTCCTAGGTTTAGTATAACGCGAGAGAGAAAAAAAAAGCGTAGCTTATATATATATATATGTATATATATGTATATATATATGTATACATATGTATATATACATATATACATATACATATATATGTATATACACACATATATATATATATATTGTCCTATTTATGTGTACCTTCTGTGTCTAGTCTGGGAGCGAGGAACAGGCTGTTCGTTTCAAAGAGAAGATGCTCTTTAAGAGCGCGACGATATACCTGTCCGTCCTCCCTCTAAAGAAAAAAAAAAAAAAAAAACGTAATTTGAACCTCAAGCAACAACTTGCTTTCTGCTAAGATTTTATTTTATTTATTTGAAAAACTCGTGAACAGTCGGTCGTGCGAGACGCGTAACACCCTGGTTCCATTCGATCGGGGGATCGGAGGATATGACGATACGATCGGCGCGTCCACGGGACGAAAAAAGGATCTCGATGATTAGTGCAAATTAAACGCCGGTCGGCTGACAATAGCATACCGGTGTCGTCGCGTGCAGTGGCGTGTGTTACAGGCGTCAGAAATAAAGAAGAATTCGATTGAAACGATTCGCCCCTCGTTGCATCGATGCTTCTTGCGCCGATCACGAACATGGTTTGCTGTGAAAAATTAGTGAAAAAAAAAAAGAAATAATTAATAGGATGACTTTTAACAGAGGGAGGAGTTTGCGTAGCTGAATACAATGGTGCGTACACAGGAGAGATATACTATATATACAATTGTAGTCCGAATTGTTTTTGGGGAAATTTGAAGAGTTCGAAGGCGAAGGGTAATTTTTGATCATCTTTTAAAACGGGGGACGAATCGTGTGTAAGAAATCACAGTTTCAATGTTTTTTATCATATTAAATGATAAATTTTTTCCTTTTCATAATTATTATCATGTATATTATACTTATTATTCTGGTTATTATTATTATTATTATTATTATTATTGCTGCCATAATCATTGTCATTATTATTATTCATTATTATCATCGTTATCGTCATCATCATTAACATTATCACCATCCCTCACCATCATTATTTTTATTATTATTTTTATTTTTATTTCTATTATTATTACTATTACTT